TTTTAAATTATTATTTTTATTATAAACTATTATTATTACTGTTATTATTATTTTAAAGTAGGCTCCATGCCCACCGTGGAGCCCAAAGAGGGACTTGAACTCACAATCCTGAGATCAAGACCTGAGCTGAGATCAAGAGTCAGTCGTTTAACCAACTGAGCCACCCAGGTGCCCTGGGAATACACATTTCTAACAAATAAACAAATAGCACCTCTGCCCTGCACTGAGGCTGCAGAAATCAGAGACATCAGTGAGCTGATTGCAGTGTGATTGGTATTCTATGGATGGTGACTTACCTTTCTTCATTCCAAGGAGGATATATTGTCACATATTGTTCTCATTTTGCTCATTCTGTATGGCCATCTTTTGAATCACAGAGCTGCCTCAATGAAATAAAATAGATGAATCAATGAATAGGAATGATTTGTGTACAGCTTCAACATAATTTGTTCCAGAAAAGGAATTATTTTTTTCTTGTGATCTCTAACCCATTTGAGTACAACAGGGAGAAAAACATGGGATATGGCATCCCACAGTCTGGAATCTCGTTCTACCACTAACCAGATCTGAGATCTTTGGAAGGTTACAAGCTCTCAGGATTCTCCAAACCCGTTTCCCTATCTGTGAAATGAGCAAAATACTTGCTTTTCCAAACCTTACGATAAGATAGCTGTGAGGAAGAGATTAAAGGGGAAAAAAGATTTTGGAGGTAACCTGAATTATCATAGGTGCTATTTCCAGGACTTAAAAATCACCCAGTTTTTTCCTAGACCTTTTGGTCAAAAAGTGATGCTTAGAAGAGAAAGAGAGCATGGCCTCAATCAGATGGCCGAAAGTGATAAAAAGGAAAGCGAGAACAAACGTTTATTGCATGCATATGTTGGGCCAGTTCCCAGTTAAGTGATCTACATATTTAATCTTGTTTAATCCTCACAACAAACCTATGATCTGGTTATCTCAACCTGCATTTGCAGATCAGAAAACTCAAAAATAAAGAATATGTCACATAAATGTGAACCCTCATTCATTCATCCACCCAGCCCTCCATCCATTTAATAATAGTACTAGGTACCAGGAATACAACTGAATAAAAAAGGAGGAGTCTCTGCTCTCACCGAACTACCTTTGAGGGAGACCTGGTTTGAAGGTTCCCAGCTATCAAAGGGCAAAAGGGGGATTCTCATTTAGTTTTACATCGCTCGGCTTCTGGCTCTAAGCATTGGCAACCTTCTGTGCCATGTTCTTAGTTCATTTTGAGTCCCACGTGTTGGTCCCAGAACCCTGATGCCCTTTCTTCTTCTCCGACAGTCTCAATGTTGTGCCAACATTTTTTAATATTCAGGGGCAGAAGCTTGTGTTAACCAGTTTTTTTTTTTTTTCTCCCCAAGTGTGATTATCTGAGCAGAGGAAACTTCCAGGAAAGCTGCAAGCCCGAATGAGTCAGCTGTCATCACGGCCATTACCTAATGCGGAAAGGGGATGGGCTCGGGAAGCTGACGTCAGTGAAAGAGCAGAGACTCACAGGTTTGGAACTCGAGGTCCGGGAAGCAAGGGGCTGGCTCCGTTTCAGCAGCCAGTGCTAAGTCTTCCCTTGTTCATTCTTTCTGGAGCACGGGACCGGGTAGCCTTCAAGAGTCCCACTTATTTTTATTTTCCTTTTTAAAGATTTATTTATTTATTTGAGAGAGAGAGAGACAAAGCGAGAGAGCGGGAGGGGGCAAAGGGGCAGATCGAGAGACTAGCCAAGCCGACTCCCTCTGAGCTGGAAGCCAGATGCTAGGCCGGAGCAGGGGGGCGTGGGGGCATGAGATCAGGACCTGAGCCAAATCCAAGCGTAGGATGCTCAACTGACTGAGCCACCCAGGCGCCCCAAGAGTCCCATTTAAAAAGAGGCTGATATTCCTGAGAAGGAGCTTCTTTTTGATCTTAGTGAGTGCTTCACAAGGACAGTCAACTGGGGACAGGATAGGATGGAGCAAGAAAGGGGAGAAGCGAGGGAGAGAACTAGGGCCTGCGAAAGGTGGATGAGAGGAGTGGTTTCTAGGAGGGCCCTACAGACCTAGGTTCTTGAGTCAACCACCGAGGTTCTTAAGCTGATGCCCCAACACTGAAACCGCTTCTTGTGTCCAGGACAGCCATAAAAATGAAACTGATTCTCATGGAGAGTCAAGATAAGGTTAACAAAGGCAATATGACAAAGGGCACTAGTGTTGCTGATCTTTATTGCATTGCTTAGAAGTAATGCTGCATAAGCTAAATATCCTTCATCCCATGCTGTGTTTCTTAGGAAACCTCCTGACTTGTAAGGTATCCATGTGGTAGAAAGCAAGCACACAAAAGTCCGCTGCTCATTTGTGTACCTCTTCGTTCTGTGGATTCTCAGGGCACCCTGCCCTGATTTTCCTGTCTGCTGATGGTGCCTCCAAGCCAGCCTCCACTCTGCCCAGATGTGGACTTCCTACCTGCATTCTCTCAAGGTACTCTTGACTCAGAAGTTACACCCAGACTCAGCCGTAAACAGACGAGTCTTTTTTTTTTTTTTTTAAGATTTTATTTATTTATTTGACAGAGAGAGAGAGACACAGCGCGGGGAAACACAAGCAGGGGGAGTGGGAGAGGGAGAAGCAGGCTTCCCGCTGAGCAGGGGGCCCGATGCGGGGTTCGATCCCAGGACCCTGGGATCATGACCCGAGCCAAAGGCAGACGCTTAATGACTGAGCCACCCAGGTGCCCTCAGACGAGTCTTTAGGTTGCCATTTCCCATCTCCCAACTTGTTGGGGTTATCGTTTCCAGGCTTCTCCCTACCAACACCTGAAATACAGCATCCTAAATCAACTCCCTTCATCCTCTCTTCCCTCTTCTCAGAATAAATATCAGAGTAAGTCTTCCTTAGTCACTCCTTATTTATTTTTATTCCTTTGTAGGTATGCAACTCATTATTTTGAAAACTGAGAAATAAAAGGAAAGAATTAAGTCCCTATCTTCCTTATATGAACCGTACCTCAGGGTAACTGAATAGCTGATTAGGGCGAGTTTCTCTTTAGAGAAGTAATTTCACTTTATGAGTGAGAAGGAATGATAGAATTAACAGCCTACTGGTCTAGACAGTGATTATTAATTGCTGCCCAAATCACAAAATAGGGACAAACAGACATTATAGGATGGAAGTATACATCATCACTTATTAATTAATCTGGATAAAATATGAACCTGAATCTGATTAAGCTTGTAGATCTAATTAGCTAATCTAACTCTAGGGGACAGATGATTCTACCAGAATGCAATCAGGAAAAATCAGACTTTGGAAAAGCTACAGGACAAACAACACTAATTTTTAAAGAATTTCAAGGGAAACAGAGGGGAGTAGGGAATCTATAGATTAAAAGAGACTTCAGAGGCATGCCAGCCAGTTGCACTGTAGGGACCTTATTTTGATCTGAATTCCAACAAATTCACTATAAAAAATTTTAAGACAACCAGGGAAATGTAGACATAAACTAGATTTTTAATAATATTGAGGAATTATTGTTAATTTTAAGTGGGATAATAGTAATATGTTTTTTTTAAAAAAAGAATTCTTATCTTTTAGAATTGTGTGCTGAAATATAATAGGAATGGAGGAAATGTTAGGAGATCTATTTTGAATTTCTTTCAAAATAATCCAGAGGATAGTGAGGAAAATTGGTGCAAGTGTAAATAATACAAGATTGCTCATGAGTGGATAATTGTTTAAGCTGGGTGGTAGGTACAAAGGAGTTCATTATACTGTTTACTTTTGTATATGACTAAAAATTTCCACAGCAAAATGATAAAAAATTTAGAAGACAAACCACTGGAAGAATGGACATGGAATGTATAACTTCCCAAAGATCAGAGGGGTAAAATATGAATAAGAAAACAATCAATTGAACAAAAGCCAGGAAAAGGGAGAAAAGGGGGGGTGGGAACTAGATAGCATTCTAAGGAGAAAACACAAAATAAGATGGCAGAAATACAGCCAAATATGCTTGTAATGATACATGAAAATGGATTAATCTATTAAAGACAAATTGGAAATTCAGCTCTCTCTCTCATATATACATGTATATTTTTTAACAAGAGAAACCCCTAAAAAAATGAAAAGAAGGGAAATGAACAGGTAGAAAACTATCTGCTAGACTAAACAAATGATAATAAACCGAAATTAGGTAAAACTGTTCAATAAGATAAGGACTGAAACTTCCTGGATGGAATTAGCAACACAGTGCTCATTGGTGACCCTGTGAAAATGGTTTTGGGGCCCAGTGGGAGTTCCTCCCATGTAAGACTGCGTGCAACAAGCAGTGAGTGCAAGAGGAGGAAGTGGAAAGGCGGAATAGGTAACAGAAAAAGCAAGTGGAGAGAGCACACTCCCAGTTAGGCGGAGAGGGTTACTTATTTATCATGTGTTTACATATTAAGCCTGTATAAACACTGATGCGATGAAGTCCCAGGAGACGGGGAAGGAGAAGAAATGAAAGAGAGGGAGAGGGGAGGGGAGGAGGCCGAAAACAATGAGACCCAGAGCACCAGGGAGGACATTAGCAGAAGACAAGAAGAAAACACCTTCTATTTTATTTTATTTCTAATTTATTAATTTGTCATTACACAAACAATACATGAATGCATACTCAAAAACATCGAATATTACAGTTAAAGCTAATGCACTCCACCAAACTACTGTTAACAGTTTGGTTAGTATCCTTCCAGACCTTCTCTGTACATTTTTATAATATACAAGTAGGTACTTAAGAAGTACACTATACAGTATTTATTTGTGTGTGTGTATATATGCGTCTTAAAATCAATGGTATCATATGTATTGCATGTATTAGCCTTTATTTTCCTCCAAACTTTCAAAAAACTTATTGTATCTTCGAGATCTTTCCATGTCAGTATGTGTATGAATCTTATTCTTTTTCATTGATGCCCAGTGTTGTATATTGTTCCATCCTCTTGATGGGTATTTTGTTTTTTCCAATTTTATTCTATTACAAAGGTACAATTGTACAAGCCACCCTGTGAACACAAGTATGAAAAGTGTGTTTCATTAAAAACTGGAAATGTTGGGTGACAGGGCATGTGAATTTTAAATTTTAATGGATATCATTCGACTGCCTTTAAAGGTAGCTGTGCCAATTTATACATTTACTAGCAATGTAGGATTCCTGTTTTTCCAGACCCTTGCAGCCTTGTGATTTACATATATTTTAAGTATTTGCCAATTGGATTTGAGATAGTTTCTTATTTTTTAATGTGCATTTCCTTTATTTTGCTGAGGTTGGGCATCTCTTCATAATCTTGTAAAACTTTTTGCTTACCTGCATTTTCACAGGGAGGTTTCTAAGGGATATGTAACCAAAAAGCATAAGACTTACTGCTTGTCTAGCTGGAATTAGTTTTTGTGAGCTAGAGATCTAAATTCGTTTTCCCAAATGGTTATGTCATCCCAATACTATTTATTAATAATCCATTCTTCCCTTACTGATTTGAAATGTTACTTTTATCCTTTACTGAATAATAATTGTTTCTGGATTCTCAGCTCTATCAGATTTATTTTTGGCATCAGGCACCTGAGTTATTCTTAACTTGGTTCATTGAATGGTAGCTGATTTTGTCAGCCAAGATAATGAGTGTGTTGCTTATGAGACAATAGATAATATAACTCATGACACACAAATTCTATTCTAGTTAAGTTTGATTTAAATCAGTTCCATTATCTACAAACTTAGAGTATTAAAAAAATGTGTAAACTTCTTTTAGGGGACAACTCACAGGCTCAATGTAGAGATAGGAAGCTTTTCACCAAGTCCCCTCTTTCTAAAAGTATTGTTTGATGTAAAAGCTTTTTGGTGATTTAAAGTTGTTTCCTGGCAATGTCAAAGGGTTTCATGTGGCATGGGAGTATTACTGTTGATTTACATGAACCTTCCATTCAACAGATTATATGAGGTCCACAAACTAAGACATACACTTCGAATAAACAATGGCACTTCAGTTTTCTTTTACATTGGATGATAGCTCCTGGAGTGCACAAATCGTGTTCCACTTATCTTTCTATCCCCAAACATCTAGCACAGGGTGCAGCACCTGAATTGAAATAGAATTGAAGTGCATTTCAACAATGTTTCTATAAAATAAAAAATAAAACCCAAACTTCTCAAAAACAAAACCTTGAGGGGATTTACAAAGTTACACATATTTATTTTTTTCTGTCCATCAGACACCTGATTAAATTATATATTATATATTTTAGTAGAAACACTAGAATAAGACACTGACCTGATATTATTTCATGCCAAGTGTGGGAAAAAATATTCCCTTGCTGTCCATGACGTCCTCAGGTATGATCTATCTATAGATGCGTTGCTTGCCTGTGAAATGATGATAAGAACTGTGATCTGGAAAACAGTTGGATTGCGGTGGGCAAGAATACTTTACAGTTGTTATATAGAAAGATGAAAAGGTAAAAACTTTTTTTGGGAGGGGAAGTAGAAGTGTGGCATTTGCCTTGTTTTAAAATTCAGTTATTTTTATGATCTAAGCACACCTTTTCCTTCCCTCTTTCAAAGGGATAACTTTGGCTTCTGTGGGCAGTGTTAGTCCATAAATTTAGATGCTCTGTTTTATAGCTCAATCCATGACATCAGATCATGGGAAAATTCTCAAAATTGCCTAATCTATCAGTTTCCCTGGTTAGGAGAAGAAAAAATAAAGCTAACTCACTAAGTATGTTGAACAAATTTTATGACCAAGTAGACTGTGTCAGTGCAAAATACCGACTTCATACTTTCCTGTTACCAATCCTGAAAGACTGTCTCACTTTTATTTATGATGATTGTTTTTTTATTTTAAAAAAAGAGGTCTATGACCTTAACTTGCTTTGTATAGTGCCTCACTTAGCAATTTTCACCTGTGAACATAGCATGTTATACCAATTGTAGCCCACTAAGGAAATCATTAAATAGCACTTGGACAGTAATATTCTCCACTGACAAAGGAATACATACATTCAAAGGACAGATCTTGCTATAGAAATTCTGCGACTTGGCATAGAAATACATGTAACAGGGATGCATCCTAGAATGCTGAAAGGGGGTAAATAGGGAGCAAATATCCGTCACTACACAATAAATCATTAGTATTGCTAGAAAATAGAAACATGAGTTACTAGGTTTGAGGCAGGAGGAGGTGGGAGAAAAGGTTGTTTTGCTTAGGCAGCGGACTTACGGGGAAGAAAGAAGCCTTCCTGAATTGAACTGTGTCAAAGAATGAAGAAAAGTTGAAGCCAGCAAAACCTCTTTTGACTTGGGTTTCAGTATCTGCAATGGGGCCAGAACCCGTATTGTTCTTTTTGGGGAGGGATAGCCCTGAAAGACAGGCTTTGGACTCATGCTTCTGGGCCACTCTAATCCTAGTCACCATAAAAGGACTAAATTTGGTTGACCTATAGGGCCGAATTTATAGAGGCATAAATGTGATAGCCAGGGCTCCTCCATTCCCCTTACCCTTTTGCTAAATTCGTGAAATTCCTCTAAACAAAGACTTCCATTTTGTAGAGGTATATGCCTATTGGAAGGAAAAGTTTTGACTAAAACATTTTAAGACTTGGGGTTCTCAGATCTTTCTTTGGAAGCAGAAAAAATAGGCACCTGATGTTGGGAATGGTGTAGAAAGATCCAAGAAAAACTTCCTAATGAGCATTACAAATCTGCCTATTTATCATTTTGTAATTTTGCTTATTCATCATTTCTGGATTATTCTCTCCTAAATTATTTCTCCACTTCCAGTTTCAGCTCACCAATCTACTGCCCATCATTGATAACTAGAATGATTTATTTTTCTAAAATGCTTATCTGATTACAATCCCACTGCCTAAAATCATTCAATAAATTATTTTTGCTCTAGATGCCAACCTACTAAGGTGGATGAGTCAGCCTGCATGTCTGTCTCCTGGGAAACAATTCTGTGACTATCCAAAGAGCTTTGTTTATGCTCTCCTCTAAGCTTTTGAGCACTTTTTTCTTATCAGGTGTCACCTCTTTGAGGGAACCTTCCTTGACAAAACCATCCTTGACTGTTTTTATTATTGCATTGTACATGTTGGTTTGTGTTTGACCTCAAACTGTGAATCTTTAGAGCTGGGCTTTGTCCTCTTAACAAAATTATTGAAGAGAATTGAGTCATGTCACAAAGTGCCTGCCACTGAGCCTCCTTTTTTTAAAATAAAAAAACAACTCGTGACTTAAAAGTTTATTCCCCCCAAATCAACTGATATTTTATTTCTGGTTCTACAGAGATAAATTCCCATGAAGAACAGGTATTTTTGTTACTCTAATTCTAAGGACTTCCCCTCGCTCTTTTTAAAAAGGTCTAGGAGTGACTGGAGTTTGGAACTTGGAGAAACATCAGTCTCCGACCTGTGACAATTCTTTGTGAATAAAAGCAGTTATGATTACCCATCTCTGGGGACTTGATGGTAAAGCATTCTGTCTTAATACTTCTACTTAACTCAGAATGTAACAGAATTGGAAATACCCAGTTATTTTCAACATACAGCTAAAGTAACTGCATACTGAGTATCTCATAATCCTTTTTTGGGAGGGGGCATAGCAAGCTGTAAAATCACATCATTAACTACCAAAAATAAATTTTCTTTGGGGAAAGTTAGGTTTGTATTGCAGACACATTGCCATTATCAGAAACAAAATTTTCACTTGTGAAATTTTCACTTGTGATTTTCTGGTTGGCTAAACCAACAGAAAACTTATGTGGCACCTTGGTCTATGGGCATTACACTGAGAAAATTATAGATGGCATTCCTGTAAGACTGTGCCCCCAAATTGGCATCTCAATAAATATTCCAATTATGTGGAGAAAGAGACCTTAAATCTCCTGAGGTCAAACTGGTATTTACTTACGTTCCTAAACAAACTAATCACTTGGGAGAATGTCTGATATTGTTCCCAAAACAGTGAATCTGATTCTGAAAAACAATAAGCTTTCCCACCTTTAAGTCTGTCCCTGACTTTGGAGTGGGGGCATGCCTCAGGAGAGTAGGTTTGGATGTAAAGGCTTCCTTTCACAGCTGTTTTCAGGAGTAGATACTGGGGAGGGGGATCCACCGGGAAGAGGGAGGGGAGATGGGAGAGCAAAGGACAAGCACTACTGTAATTTTGTATTTTTTGAACACTGCACCATGAGTTATCGTCTTGTATTATTAAACTGAAAAGTTTATTAATATTTAAGGCTCTTGATACATATTGCCAAATTACTTTCTAGAAGTACATAAGAAAGCTTGCCTTTTCTACATTAGGTCCTGCTATTTAAAAGACAAATGACAATTTGTTAAATATTAATTTGCATTTCTTAGGTTACTAGAAGCTGAAACTTGAGAAACTGCCATTTCTTCTGTGAACTACCCATATTTTCTGTCCTGGTGGTTTTTTTAAAATGTAGAAGTAGTAATAATTGCTTTTAATTACCATTTAAAATTAATGTATCAATCATTTCCTTTCTGATTACTTTGTATTTATAAAGTGTTTTTCTATCCCAAGACCCAAAATTTGTATTTTCACAAAAATCTCAACCTTTCCTAATACTAGTTTTTCTTTGCCTGTATAGTATAAAATATCACACTGTTTGCATTTGAGGGGCATACCCGGTGAGCCTTCTGGTTAGCATTCCAACATGGAAGTTTCATTTTCTAACTCATCTGTGGGTGACTCTACTTAAAATCTCACTCCACAACTATAGGACTGCTTCTTCAAGCATATGTCATTAGTTCCTTAGTTACTTCTAATGTTATTCGTTAACATTAAAATTGTTTATATTCAATATACCGGCACAACTGGAATATAAAATATTTGGTGATCCCACATACACTCCCAATTTTTTATGCATTTAGTTTGTGGCTAAATCTAATGAAGTTTCAATTTTAAATAGATAAAGAACACTTATTTATCCTCTTTTAACAACACGGAGAGCTAACTATTGGTTCTCATTAACTCCTGATCAGCTAGCTGGCTATAGACACAAAGCATGTTAATTTTCTACAGGCACCTTTCTGAATTCAAGTAAAGTTTTGGTAGACAAGGATTTTACTTAAATGTCACTGACATAATATGAATCTTGAGTACAAATATTGCTCACCATTCTTGCATTCTTCAAATTATTTTACTTTGAAAATTTAAGAACTATCATTAAGTCATTAATAACACAGGTTTTCATTTAAGGAATATCTGAACTGTGAAAATACATATCTAATCAAATTAAATTTTGAACACATATAGAGCCAAATATTTCAACAAAACTGCAGTTTAATTTCAGAAAATGTGTTAAAATATATATTTATACATCAATTTCTGACATACACTTAATGTGTTAGTATACACAAAATGATGCTTTCTCTTGAAACTGTATTTATGAAATGTACATTTTAATTTAAATACTCAGTATACACTGCACTTAATCTGCATGTTGCATTTATTAAATACATTAAAATCTGCAATGTAACAAAACGTTTTCTGCATACGAAATTCAAAACACCATTTTAAATGAACAAAAGATGGCTCACTTCATTTTTTTTTTTTTTTTTTTTTTTTTTACAACTAGTGTATATAGTACACTAGCTCAGCTCCACCATACTACCTGTTCGTTCTTTTTTATTTGACATTGTTCACAGACTAGTACATATTACAATAAGAGTGCTGGATAAAAACATGAGGTACGAAAGTGGTTCAAAGATTATAGGTCATGCAGATCATGCTAGACAGCAAAGAAAATTGTGACCGAGAAAACACTAAATAAAAATACATAAAGAATGTGCATTATAAAAAAACCTCCATTACACAGCTTTGCTTCTTTGGTTACAAAGTAGGTTGAACAATTTCACAGCTTTTTATTCCCACCCGAAAAAAGAAAGTCATACGAAATGTCAAAAAGCAGAGGAATCGTGGCAATTTCTCTATTAGAAAGTAGAAACAAATGAACAAAGTTTTCTTCATCAAAATAGCCCAATTATTTATTATATCACAATAACTGGTGACTACCTGTACAGCTGCACTATGTTCTTCATACTTACACTATACAAAATTTACATTCAAGCTGGGTCTTTACTACTGAAAATAAATACCGAAGGTAAATTGCCATTAGTGTTAGAAATATGCCAGGATTCTTTTGTTCAATTATTGCCTAAACGTTTCTATTAAATGCAATCCTGTCTTTCAAATCCTTTACTGATACTTATAATTATTCAAAAAAATTAAGAAAGTTCTGTGACATTGTTCATGTACATTATGAAAATAGCAGCCCTGTAATAAATAAAACACAAATAAATGAAAACTTACGTAGGCCAATGTTACTGATATTGAAAGAAAAGTGGCTCTTTAGATGAACGGTTATTTATAATGTGATAGGAAGGCTCAGGGTAAATCCATGGATCATAGGAAAAACGGGAGAGCCACCAAAGCTCTTAAAAGACCCCACTCATGCGCACCAGGTAAAATGCAGACTTTGCTTGCTTTAATAAACCCCATCTATTATTCTCCTTGTGTACTGATGACATGAAACTGGACATCAACAATGCTGCATGACATCTCAAAGGGAGGAAAAGCTCCTGCAGAATGATTGTCTAATACTGAAAAGGCCAAACACACAACCGAAGCATGGCTACTTGCTTTCGTATAAAGTGGAAAGAATACCAGTGGCACACAAGGATAGATTGCTTTCAGTTTTTTTTCTTAATGAGGCAAGAAAGCTTTATGCTGAGGAGACATTCGGCTGCTGTGGAGGTTGCGTTGGCTGCGGAGGCTGTGCTACCACTGCTTGCTGTTGAGAAGTGCTACCAGGACTGGCCTGTTGGGCTGGGAGTTGGGATAACTGATCATTGTTTGAAAGAGATTTTAACAGTGCATTTTCTCGTTCAAGTAAAGAGTTTCTTTCAACTAATTCTTTTATTTGTTCCTTTAGAACTTCCACTTCTTCTCTTACTGCATACATCAAATGGCTTTTCACCAGATCCTGTGAAAAACAAAATCAGCAATGTCAAAAAGACTGAAAGAGAAAGGTGTTGCTATTTGGTTCTGGCCTACCTGGTGCCTTATTAAATACGAGGCATTTTTATGTTAGTTTTCCTGCTCTTGCTTTTACTGTTTCTACTGTATCTTGACTGGCCCTAAGGGAGGTTAAGGGTGGGAAAAAACCCAGTTTCCACCTAGGCAGCAAGCCCAGGATTTCTTTTCAAAGTTTGGAGTGATTTCCAAAAATATTAGGTTCCTTATATTGTCAATTACAAGCTCAGAATTTAAAAAAAAGTTTAAAATCACATGCTTAGAGGTTAGACCAAGAGAACAAAGGATATTAAACTGATATTAAACTAGTTACAGCATTTCTTGAAGAGAGAAAGTGACCTACAATTTCCAACTCTAAAACCCTAAAGAAAAATAGTTTGTGACTAATGGTCCTTATATAGTTTTAATAAGCCTTAATCAAAATATTTTATATAACACGAACAGAATATCTCTAAGGGAACAAAAAACTGACAGTAATAGCAGAAATCAGAAAAAGATTCAACAAGTTCTATTTATTAGAGTGACTAAAACAGCATTTATAAAAACGAAGGCTTCCAGCTAAAGTTCTCATTTTAATATACTCTTTGCCTATAAACTATTTTTGATGCTGAAATACTTGAAGGCACATAATGCATTCTGATTATGTATGCCCCTCAAAATGGCCCTGATTTATCAATGGTAATGCATGAAATGTGAGATGTCCAAATGGGGGGAAATATTAACTCCACTGGTATTTCCAGACTAAACATTCTCTATATTCTAGCATCTTCAACTAAATCTGATTATCAAAAAATATACGTTGGTTATCTTGTTTTAAATGAGGTGTTTGTTTTTTTAGAATTGATAAAAACCAAATGCTTCCTACAACCAACAACCTATGAAATGAGAGAACTATAAACTTTTACTTACCATTGCTTGTTCTATTTTGTTGTCAATGGCTACACCACCTCCCCCAGATGCACTGGAAAAAATTAGAGTATTTCATTAAATTATTCTAAAAACGGAACCTTCTTTCTAACTCTTAAAATAAAAACATTTGTTTTACCAAAACCAAAAATAGTAACTTAAAATAGCTTATTAAGTCTATTCTCATAATTTCAGTATACTCAAAGCTCTTATTTTGAAAATGAGGGATCTCAGTAAATAGAAGACTTCCAAAAATCCTTTGTAGTGCCAACATTTCTAATTTCCCTATGACATACATATGCTACTTTAAAAGCAACTCCCAATTCTATTCAGGAGCTCTTAACTCCGTGAACTTTTAAAAAGATACCTTTTGAATGAGCAGTACACTCTCTCCATCTTTTAAACTTCTTCATTTACCAATTACATATTCTAATTGACGTTCATGTGGAAATTCTAGTGGTCACTTATTGCATTAAAATTCAGATGATGACTTTCCTCTATAGGTTTTACTTCTGGTTTAAAAATTTCTAGAACCAGCTTCTAAAGGGCCTTTGGGCAAATGATACTTGCAGGGTTGGTTAACACCAATCTCAACATTCTGGCAAATCTTCATACTTTCATTGTAGGTTACTAGCTGGCAAAAATCACCTACAAAGGTATGTTGTTTAGACCAGTTTTTCCTGGAAATATTTGGAAGTAGTCTAGCTAGTAAGGATATCCCAAGTTCAACTATCACCTTAGCATTTGTATGATAATAACAGAAGGTTCAATAATCATCCTCTTAAACAGTAAGAATAGTGAATATCTATATCCTTTTCTTGGCATTTTTGTAAATTTTGAAGAACAGTTATTAGATTTTCTTGTAAAGACAAACCTGATAATTTTAATCTATTTTATCAATACAAAAAGAGGTCTTTAAATAATTGATATCAAACTTTGCAAAATACTCTTCATAAAGTATATTCTATCTAAGAAAATTTAGGTGCTAATATATTTGAAGGCTATTCTATTTTAGATGATGTGGGCCCTCAGACTGCTATATATTGAGGAGCAGGAATATCCTGTCTTAGGTGGTGGTGCCTTTTACACTGTAATCTAAGTAGATCTGGTTATAATCCTGGTTCTGCTACTCACTACCTGTGTGACCATCAGCACATCAAGTATTTAATTTCCCTAGACCGGTTTCCTCATGTGTAAAATGAAGAGGTCGGGTCAATGCCTCAGTGGACTTCCTACTTCTAAATCCTTGCATCAATACACAGAAGACACAAACTTGTTTATCTGAGCATTAGTCACATTAATTACAGCATACACCTTTACTTCTTGCTGCTGCTATTGCTAAGATGAAAACAGATTTTATATACCTAATAACTAGAAAGGATATATAGATCATTAATAAATACTTATATATGTTAGGCTTTAAATGCTTGTAGAGCTGTGCAAAACAAAGTATGGCTATATGTAACTATAAACTATAGAACAACTATATAAACCGTAAGGCTTTGGTGTAAAGTTCAGTTCAGACACCACGTGGATATGTTCACCAAATAACGGCTGCAATTTGCAAAAAAGACAGTGCCAGGCATTGAGATTAGTTTGTCTGACCATCCTAGATTATACTCTCAATATTTTTTATTTCTATGCCAATAAGGAAAAAGTGAATTAGTTTTAGTCATTTCTTGATGTAAATACATTCAATTCTTTTAACATGTTTTAAATAGAACACCTTAAATGCTAACACCAGTTTTATATATTAACAAGCAACCAAAACAAAAAATAAACCCCTAACCCTTAACAAGGGTTTATTACTTTTTTTTATGATTAAAATAATATTGGTAAGTTTCCAAACCATTCCCCTTAGGCTAAGGAACAGTAATTAGCATCCTATTCTTTGTTGATATAATAAACTCTAATCCTGACTCAGACCTCTTTTACAGCAATGAAGGAATAGGTTTGCAAAGTATAAATGGATCATACTGAAGATCTGTGTCTCTTAAAAAGTATTAATAACCCAATTTTGTTAAGCATTTTACTTAAACAATTAAATCAGTCAGATTCAATTACTATCACTACAGCGATTTCTGGCTATTTTGAAGGCTGTTTTTTATATAACCTATGGCAGTGGTTCTCAAACTTTAGCATGCACCAGTCATCTAGAGGTCTAAAAACAGATGGCTGGGTTTCGCCTCAGTTTCTGATTTAGAAGGTCTGGGGTGGGGCCCAGAAATTTGCATTTCTAACACGTTTCCTGGTGATGCTGATTCTGCCACCTGACAGACCATACTTTGAGAACCAATGGCTTACAAAGATGAAAGCTCTAAGAGAAAGAATAAAAAAACTTAATCCTATTTTAAAAACTTCTTAACCCCGAATACAAAACTTTTTACCCTTCATGACTTTGACCCCTGGCTTCTATGGTCTCCTTTCTTCTCACACTCCATCTGGCCTAATGTGTTATTACATTACTGTGTGTCTTACACATTGACTATTTACAGTCTGTGAAACCTAGATTCTCTCAGGTTTCCATGGCTTTGCAGAACTGCTCCCTCAGCTGCAAATGCTCATGGTTCCAATTCATCTGGCTATCTTTTACTTGTTCCTTAAGATGCTCCAATGCCACGTCTCCTGTAATGCCTTCTGATTTCCTAAGGCAGAACCAGTTATTCCATCTCTCCTGTGGTTCACAAACTCTTCATACTGCATAACCAGAAAAGCAGAATAGCAAATTCCAGCTCCTCCATATACTCACTGTGTGAATTCTGGAAAACTATTCAGCCTTTCTAGACTTCAGGTTTCTCATCTAAAATAAGGGTTATATACCTCAATTCATAAAACTCCTGTGAGGATTAAAGGAGTTTAAATACTACTACATCTGTAACTCTATCAGACTGAGTTCCTTGAGAGAGGTTCCTCATCTCCACCCACTGTGAAGAAGTGAACACAGTGCTTGGCGCGTAAGAGCTCAAAAGCGAATTGAAAGAGTCTGAAAGAGTCAATATGACAGCCATTAGATTTGAAACAATTACTGGTTTATATTAGAAGGCCATTAAAATATTTTGAGTTTGAATAAATTCATAGTTCTCAAAGTATGGTTACTGGACCAGCAGTAGCATCATCACCTGGGAACTTGTTAGAAATGGAAATATTTGGGTCCACCCCAGACCTACTGAATTACATATTCTTGAGGTGGGATCCTGGAAATCTATTTTAATAACTCCTCCAGGTGACTGATAGAAACTGAAGATTGAGAAACTGATTTATAATAAGGATATCAATATGGTAGTCTTAAATAAGCAAATAAGAGGGTATTCTATTTCAGGATCCTTGAACATGGTTTAAGAATATTATTTCAAAGAGGGTAAGAAGTTGTCTTCTATTGTGTTCAAAGTCAACACAGTGGTTTGGGCTTCACACTCTTAAAAATGAGAACGATCAACCGAAGCAGAATGAAAAATTTTCCTTTATTTGCTTCCTTGACCTAATGTTAAAGTTTTATGCCTTGTTTTCTTTTTTATTATTGTATTCACCACCCTATAACTTGATGGTTAACTTAAGTTCCTAAGACTTTGTAACTATTCTGGTAAACTATAAGTGCTATATAAAGGCAAGGGATAATTTGTAAAAAGAAACATTGTTTGATATAGGTCACTCTTTTAGCATAAAAACATACCATGATTAGTATTTACTAGATTAATTAAGAATTGTGGTTATGGAGGAAATGGACAGAAATATAGAACTGTAGGGGAAAAAGACAACAAGCATATAGCTACAGTATTTTTATATGAATTTTTTTTTTACTAGAATTACAGCCTCCCAAAGAAGGAAATGAGCTTGAATTTAGTGGGTTTTTTTTTCTTTTTTAAAGATTTTATTTATTTATTTGACAGAGAGAGCAACAGAGCAGAAGCAGGAGGGGAAGTAGGAGAGGGAGAAGCAGGCTCTGCGCCGAGCAGGGAGCCCGATACAGGGCTTGGTCCCAGCACCCTGAGATCATGATCTGAGCCGAAGGCAGACGCTTAACCATCTGAGCCACGGAGGTGCCCCTAGTGTTTTTTCTTATTTTATTTATTTTTTTTAAGTAATCTCTACACCCATTGTAGGGCTCGAACTCACAACCCTGAAATCAAGAGTCACACACCCACTGACTGAGCCAGCCAGGCATCCCTGAATTTAGTGTCTAAATAAAGTCAGATCGCATAAATCTTTTGCCTTTTACAATCACATTCACAGGAAAAATAAAACCCAATGTATCAAGGTACAGTAAAATAGCTTGGCTTTCAATGCTGTTCATTTTAAAATTCATACCAGGTGGCTCCCCACACCATAGTTTTTCTTCCCAGACCTCCTTCCTCTTATCTCAATAGATCACTTGGCAACCTCACTGAGAAGAGGCCAGACATGAACCTCTGGCTTCACAAATTCCCTACATTTTCATCTTTCTTAAAAGGCTGTTTCATTCAAGCTCTCAGCTCAACGACTTTGTACAAAACATCTCCAGTCTCTCCTCTCTAAAAATTAAAATCCATGAAGGTGAGGTTAGGCTAACTTGATCTCACTTAAAAAAAAAAAAAAACAAAAAAAAACCTCTTTATGAGAAATCAACTTAAAATTTTATCTTCATTAATGTGGACAGAGACATCATGGCTACTTGTTTAAAATAAAAATAGAGCAAATTTCTTCTCTTACATTTTTACTACTTTGTCTTTCTTCTGTTCTCCCCTCAACACAAATGCTAATTAACAAAGCAACGAGGTAGAGGAAAAGAACACTTAAATGATTGCCCACTTTTGCAGGTACACATTACTTAGCAAGTCCTTACTGCAAGCTTGAGAAACAATCTCATCTTACAGTTGAGGAAACTGAAGCCTAGTAACTGACTCAAAGCACAATGCTAGAGACAGAACTGAAACCTAGACTTAATGTCAAAACACATGCTTTTTCTACCTTAACAGTAAGACTGTGTGGAAGCAATAAGCAACTATCTATAACAACCTAAGAGAAATGCAGACTTATGTATGTTATGAAGAGTGCTTTAACTATGTACCAAATGTCATT